CCTAGGCCAGGCCCGTAGCCCATCGCCCCTAACCTAGGCCCGGCCCGTCGTCCCTAGCCCCGCGACCCCTCGCTCTTGGCCCCGCGGCCCGTCGCCCCTAGGCCCCGTGGCCCGTCCCCCCTAGGCCTCCGGCCCGTCACTCTCGGCCCCGCGGCCCGTCGCCCCTAGGCCCGCAGCCCCTCGCCCCTAGGCCACGGCCCGTCGCCCCTAGGCCCCCGGCCCGTCGCCCCTAGGCCCCATGGCCCGCCACCCCTGGGCTATGGACCCCTCCGGGGGCCCAGTCGTTGCCCGTTCCTCCACTGTTCTCTCGTGTCCGGCAGTTCCGTCCGGCTCATTGTCCGGTCTTAGCCTCCCCTCGTTCTCTATGAACTTGGTGAGTACATTTGCCCTCCAGGATTCGATGGTCACTACCACCACTCCTGGGGGTCAGCGTGTGTCGATCTGCACATGTACACGGACGGGCCGTCACCTGGCTACGTTCACTTGTCGGCCAGGGTCGAGTCTGTACACCTTGGCTACCGAGTCTCCTCAGGTAGCTGCGTCTGCCCAGGTGTCCGCGTCATGTCAGGTTGCACCCCCTTGCTCGTGTCGCCTCCTGTCACACCAGACTCTTCTCTGGCACCATCGTCTTGGTCACCTCTCCCTGCCACGCCTGTGTGGCATGCACTCCCGTCTCCTTGTCTCTGGTCTTCCCAGGTCTTTGCCTCCCCTCCCGCCCTCGCCTGCCCCGCCCTGCCATTCTTGTGTCGAGGGCCGGCAGCGCGCCGCTCCTCACTCCTCCTCGTTTCCACCGACGACTGCTCCCCTGCAGACACTCCACATGGACGTGTGGGGCCCAGCCCGCGTCAGTAGACAGGGCCGCGAGCGCTACTTCCTGCTAATTGTTGACGACTACACGCGTTACACCACGGTCTTCCCTTTGCGCAGCAAGGGTAAGGTCCCTGATGTTTTGATCCCTTGGATTCGCGCGGTCCGTCTTCAGCTGGGCGAGCTCTTCGGCCAGGACCTTTCCTGACCTGCGCCTCCACTCTGACAGAGGTGGTGAGCTCTCCTCCGACCTCTTAAGGGACTTTTGTCGTGGGGAGGGCATCGCCCAGTCGTTCACGCTTCCGGCCTCTGCGCAGCAGAGTGTCGCATTGGCTTAGTCATGGAGGTCGCTCGTACCTCCATGATCCATGCGGCTGCTCCCCATTTTCTGTGGCCGTTTGCGGTCCGGTACGCTGCGCATCAGCTCAACCTCTAGCCCCGTGGCTCCTTGCCGGAGACCTCGCCTACAATGCGTTGGACGGGGAAGGTTGGTGATGCGACGGTGTTCCGGGTCTGGGGCTCTCGTGCCTTTGTTCGCGATACGTCTGCGGACAAGCTCTCCGCCCGCGCTATTCCCTGGGTCTTCCTTGGCTTCCCCCCCGACGCGCCTGGCTGGCAGTTTTACCACCCCACCTCAGGACGTCACGTTTGACGAGCCGGTTCCCTTTTACCGTCCCTACCCCTACCCCTCTGCCCCTCCCCCGCCCCCGCTGCTCTTCCTTGCTCCCGGTCCTCCTCCAGTAGACCCCCTCCTGCCTCAGGGTCCTGCTCCCTCAGGTGTGTCTCAAGTAGACCCTCTCCCTGGTACTGTGCCTCTTGAGGTAGCTGGCGACTCAGGTGCTGCTCGAGGTGTTGCGTCTGGGGGTGCTGCGTCTGGGGGTGAGGGGCCTGGGGGTGCGGAGCCTGAGGGCGCTGAGTCTTGGGGTACTGGGCTTGGGGGTGCTGAGCCTTAGGGTGTTGAGCCCGGGGGTGCTGAGCCTAGGGGTGCTGAGCCTGAGGGTGTTGAGCCTGGGGGTGCTGAATCTGAGGGTGCGGAGTCTGGGGGTGCTGAGCCTCGGGGTGCTGCTTCGTCTGGAGGTCCTGCTGTTGCTTTGCTGGAGCCTCTCTCCCCGCAGCAGCTGCGTGAGTGGCTTGTTCGGCGCGCACGCCTTCAGAGTAGAGCTATTGGAGCTGGAGGTGCTCGAGTTACTGATGGAGCTGGTGGTATTGGAGGTACTGTGACGGCTGGTCCTGGAGGTGCTCGTACCAGGGGTACTAGAGCAGCCGGGTCTGGTTGTGTTGGGGGCGCTGGAGCTGGAGCTCCTACGGAGCCTGGGGCTACTGCAGCTGGAGGTACTGACGTTGGTGGCGCTGGAGCTGGTGGAGCTGGAGCTGGAGGCACTGGCGCTGGTGGAGCTGGAGCTGGAGGCACTGGCGCTGGTGGAGCTGGAGCTGGAGGCACTGGCGCGGGAGGCGCTGGCGCTGGAGGAGCTGGAGCTGTTGACCTTGGAGATGGAGGTGCTGGAGACACTTTGCGGCCGCGACCGTACTTCGTTCCCCTGCTTCAGCAGGTTCTTGGTGTCCCGTCTTCTACTGGCCTTAATCCTCCCCTCTTGTGTCCGCCACCGGACCAGTCGCAGCCACCGTTATAGCCAGCCTCCCCATAGCCTGCTCCTTCTCCTTACACTGAGAACTCAGGAGGTCTTACAGAGCGTTGTGAGCCTGCGTCTCGTCCTGTCTCGCCCGTCCGCGCTGCTCGTCGCGTTCCTCATCCGTGTCCTCCTCCTCTCCCCGGCACCCACGCTATGGCACTCCGTCCTTCCTCTGTTCCACTGCGTGTTCCTCTGCCTGCTCCTCTTGAGTCCTCTCTTCCTGAGGTCCTTGACCCTGAGTCTGACCGCGCTCGTGCTGCCAGTCCCACGTCGCTCGTCTCCTCGCCACTGCTGTCACTGACCCAACCTTTGAGTCTGCTGCTGCGTCTGCTCTCGTTGCTGAGCTGCTTGACTTTGCTGCTGCCTGTCGTCTAGGCTACGCCTCTGCTCTTGTTGCTGAGTCTGAGTCTGCCAGTCCTCCGTCCGTCGGGGGTGAGTGTGCTCTTGGCACGGACGTCCTTGAGGACAGGCAGGAGGACTTTGAGTGTCTTTCAGCTGCTGTACCTCGTTTCGCTTCCATGCTACTTGCCCCTAAGGGAGACCCGGATGCACCAGACATCCCGACCCCGCGCTCTTACGCAGAGGCGATAGAGGGTCCTTACTCCTCTCAGTGGCAGGCAGCCATGGATGCCGAGATGGCATCCTGGAAGTCCACAGGCACCTATGTCGACGCAGTTCCCCCATCTCGGGCGAACATAGTCGATGGCATGTGGATTTTCAGTGTGAAGCGGCCGCCGGGTTCTCCGCCTACCTTCAAGGCGCGTTACGTTGCTCGAGGCTTCAGTCAGCGACAGGGGGTTGACTACTTCCAGACCTTCTCCCCCACCCCGAAGATTACCACTCTTCGGGTGTTGCTGCACGTCGCTGCTCAGCGTGACTACAAGTTCCACTCTCTGGACTTCAGTACAGCTTTCCTGCTGGGCAGCCTGCACGAGGAGATATGGCTGCAGGGTCGGCGCGCGGGCTACAGGGGCGGCGCGCGGGCTGCTAAAGGCGGCGCACGGGCTGCAAAGGGCGGCGCGACGGGCTGCAAAGGGCGGCGCGTGGGCAGCTTAGGGTGGCACAGCGGCCAGCAGGGCGGCACGACAATTAGGGCAGGGCGGCAGGGGAGCTTGTGGGGCAACGCTCTGTGGTGGGCCCTAAAAAAATCGGTCCTATAACGGACCTGCTATGAAACCATGTCAGAATACTGAACGAGAATGATTGGATTGAACAGAAAGTTGGGTACAAGTACTAACCCTAATTGGGTTGTACCCCTTATGTGTTACCCCACTACAGCCTACACAATGTAAGCACTATTTAAGTTTGACATGGTTATCAAACCAAATCGGCATGATGGTCTGATTTTCAGACCTACATTTTTGCTTTCATCTGATTTCTAAGATAATGAGTTTTATTTCGTCTGATCCAAAAGACTAGTTATTTTAGCTCGTCTGAATTTTCAGAGGAGTTATACTTCATCTGAAATTTCAGATAGCGGGTTTTCTTTTGTCTGACACCACCCCCCATTCTTCCCCCCCCCCCCCCCCCCCCCCCCCCCCACCATTCTCCCCACCACTCTCCTTCCCGAATCCCTCACTCCTCTACACCAGCCCAACCACCCCCTCAAGCCCTTCGTTCTTGTTCAAGCCCTACTCCTACCCTTCTCCCCGTGAAATCCCATGGCCCTTTCTCCCAGCCCAGCCCCCTTCCCCATTATAAGTCCCTCTGTCCTCCCTGGTCCCTCGCATCGCATGCATCTCGCATCTACAGTATATTTATGTACGGTCCCTCTTGCCACGTGCGTCCCATCCCAACACATCCCTCCCGTTGCCTCCCTCCCAACTTGTCACTCGCCTGTCAGCAAGCACACTATCAGTGCCGCACCACCATCTCTGTCATAAGCGTCGGAAAAAATAGAGTTGAATCACGCTCGACAAGTGTTTTAGTTAGGGCATGTTCCTACGGCCCCTTATCAGGCCAACCTCTTATCAGGCTCGCGTCACAACACACTGAAATTTCCCTAAACCCAAAAACCTTCGCGATGTTTACCAGGCAAAAATGCGAAGCTGATACGAGGTGTCCCTGATAAGGGGCCGTAGGAACATGCCCTTAAATCAGACTAAAGAAAAATATATCGTCTGAAAAATCAGACACATCTCCAACTTTCATCTGAAAAAGCAGACAAATTTTTTTGGCTCGTCTGAACGTCAGACGAAACGATTTTTTTCATTTATATTTTCAGACGGGCCTAAATCCTAGCAAGAGCCCTACCAGGTACTAATGAATGTAGCCATCAACTTGTTGAAACTACTCCTTTGGAACTCCCTAAACGGAGCATCATCCCAACGTGATCTTCCTCCAGCCCGCACAATCAAACCATCAACACGAATCTTTCCAGCCACCATATCAACTTCATGCCCATCCCTGTTAAAAGCAACCCCCACATTGTCACAAGCTGCTCCTCCTCCCCAACCTCGCATACCAAGCCTACGCATCGGGCTTCTGCATGTGCTCCGGCTCACACCCACGTCATTGGTTGGAGGCGACCATGAGAGCACACTCTTTCTCGCTCTCCCACCTTTACCGCTTCCCCCAGGGCTCCTCCCCAGGCTCGTCTGCCTCTCCAGGCTCGTCTGCCTCCCGAGGCTCGTCTGCCTCTCCAGCATGGCGGCTTCCATGGCCGCCGCTACTCTGCTGTGCTCCAGCACCGCTTGTTGCGCCTCCACCAACTGCAGAACCGCGTCGCGGATGCGCGATCATGCGCTGTCCATCCACACCTCGTCCAGCGATCAACGACTGTCGTTCACCCACGATTCTACTGCCGTGCTATCTCTGTCATCCAACCACCCTGCTGCATTGGTCTCATGATCATGCGAGTGCGAACGACTCGTGTGCAATGATACCTGACACGTGTCGTTGGGAGCACAAGCATAGGCTAAACGATCGTGACGTGGCTCGTCGTGGTGATGTTGGTTGCTGCCAATCCATCCAACGCTGTGGTACGTCTGCGTGCTGTCGACCCAGTACGCGGGGTCCTCATCCCCGCTAGAAACGGATTAGGGATAAGTCCCTGACCCCACTGGGGGTTTCGGAAGGAATCGCGTTGCTGAGCTGGCTACTCTCACATCATTCCGACGAGCGGCGGCTTTATCCTGTTCAGTCTGACCACCCTCGCCCGTTCGATTTGACGCGTCAAGAGCGTTATCGCCCTCCTCGGTCGCCGTGCATTTCTCCCCGTCGCCAATCTCATCATCCCCCCGCCCGCTGTTGTCACGTTCCACCACGTCATCAGCCGCATCGTCAGCGCAATCGCCCGCATCTCCCGCTTTGGCCAACCGCATCCACGCGGCTTGCTGCATCCAATCTTGCTGCAGAAACTCAGCATATAAAACGCCGGAACCCGTGGCAGAGCTGGAACAATGACGAAGCAGTACCCCGCATTGCGCGGGTGGAGTGGGGGCGGCGGCGGCGGCGTCCGCTGCGGAAACAGCGGCGGGAACAGCAGTGTGGAATGCGCTCTTTGCTGGAAATGCAGGTCCAGAATCGGACCAGGAGCTCGGAATGCCTCTGGAAAGCGGAAAGATCGGCGAGCTATGCCGAAGACAGGAAGGATGGCAGCCATGGGCGGCTCGGCGAGTTGGAAATGATCGTCGCCGGTGGTTCCACTTGCGGTGGCATAGGCAGGAGCAAAGGCTATTGGTAGGGAGGTGGATGAGGGGTAGTAGGATGTTGCTGCAGGAGGGAGAGACGGGGAGCAGGAGTGATCGTGATTTCTTCCGAAAGAGGATTCAGCTGGGGCCAATGCTGCAGAAGGCGCGCCGGATGATGTGGAAATAGTGGAAGACGTGGCGGAAATCACGGCGACGTTGGGGCGAAGCGCGCCGAGAGTTGATTGGATGATACTATTACTACGAAGCATTAGCGACGAGGCCTCTGGCAGAGGAACGCCGATGCCGCCACCTAGGATGATCTCCTGGGAGGTCTGCCGCGAGAGACACTTTCCGACCGCCGTTGCGGTTGGCAGGAAGCTGCGGATGGTGCGGTAGTGCTTCGACATGGCTGCCGCAGGCGGAAGCTGCTGCAGGGAGAGTTCGAGTCGGAACTAATGAGTCGGTTTTTTTTCGTAGAACATTATAACATTTTGACACACCCCCATAGGCAAAGTGGGGGAGAACAAGTGGTCACAAGACCAGTCAAGAAAACCAAAGCAAGCTCGGGGTGGATCACGAAGACACCACACATTCCGAGCACAAGCAAATGGCCACAAGGCCAGTTCACATGCAGAGTTATATAAAAGAGAACAAACAGTACAGTGATCATACCCTAGCAAGTGTAAGCGTGCAATTATATATATAGATCACAGTACAAGCAAAGTCACGTAGTGAGCAAGTAAGGCAAAGTAGACACAAGGCCTAAAACAGTACAGAAGCACTGATGATCACCAGGCGGAAGTGCCTCGGTGAATATATCAGCAGTGTTGGCCCGAGTGGCCACGTAAGCAAGACGAAGCTGACCACGCTGCTGCAACTCTCGAGCAAGGAAGTAACGCAGAGCGATGTGCTTCGTTCTGTGCTCCGGTCTGTGCTCCCAACACAAGGCAATCATGGCCTTGTTATCTACGTACAGAACTAGAGAAGAACGAGGCCGCTCTCCCAAGTCGGTCAACAGGTAGGTGAGCCAGCGTAACTCCTGTACAGCCATGGCCCCTGCGTAGATCTCAGCCTCACAACTGGAACTGAGAACAGAAGACGAGTGGGTAGACCGCCAAGAAACAGAGCCGGAGCCAAGGCTAAAGGTGTAACCCAGTGACGACCGCTGCGTAGCCAAGTCGTCAACCCAAGAAGCGTCTGCGTGTCCAGTGAGGACAACTGGACCCCGTCCTCCAAGCACGAGCCCCATGCCCGAAGTACTGCACAAGTAGTGCAACACCCTCTTAGCGGCCTCCCAGTGCTCTGGTTGGTGTCTCCCGGGCGCAACGTATTGTGCAAGGATGCTAAGAGGGTAGGCAAGGTCAGGTCAAGTGCAGGTCATCAGGTACATGAGGCAGCCCACAAGCTCTGGATACGGGCCACTCGGCTCTACGGACTCGTCCGAAGGTGGAGCCGAGAGCGAGTGACCGGTAGGAAGAGGAGTGGACTGTGACGAGGAGTACCGGAAGCCGAAGCGCTGACGGACCTGGTGCACCATGTGTGACTGAGTCAAGGTGATGGGGCGCCGTGCTTTGTCACGGGTGATCTGCAAGCCAAGATAGCTGCGCAGCTCACCCAAGTCAGTGCAGGTATGTCTCTTCTGCAGCTCCGACTTCATAAGGGCCAGTGCCTCAGTGTCAGCAGGGGCAAAGACCAAGTCGTCGACGTACACGAGGATGTAGAACGGCGGCAGCGAAGTGTCGGTGCGTAGAAATAGCGACGGGTCTGCAGTCAAAGGAGCAAACCCAAGAGCCGCAAGCGCCGTCCTTAGTGTGTCGTGCCAGTCGCGGGGTGCCTGGCGGAGACCGTAGACTGGCCACCGAAGGCTCCACAAGGTACCTGCAGGAAAAGACTCAGAAAAGCCAGGTGGGCGGTGCGGCCAGATCTCCTCGTGCAGGCTGCCGTGTAAGAAAGCTGTGCTGGAGTCAAGAGAGTTCAGCTCGTAGTCACGCTGAGCGGCGGCGTGCAGCAGAACCCGAGCACTGGTCATCTTCGGGGTAGAGGAGAAGGTCTTGAAGAAATCAACTCCCTGTCGCTGATTGAAGCCTCTTGCAACGTAACGAGCCTTGAAGACAGGCGGAGAACCCGGCGGCCGCTTCACCCTAAAAATCCACATGCCATCGACTATGTTCGCCCCAGAAGGGGGAACTGCGTGGACTTCAAGGATGCCATCTCTGCGTCCATGGCTGTCTGGCACTGAGAGGAGTAGGGACCCGTAATCGCCTCTGCGTAAGAGCGCGGGGTCGGGATGTTTGGTGCATCCGGGTCTCCCCCAGGTGCAATCAGCATGGCCACGAGATGAGGTACAGCAGCTGCAAGACACTCAAAGTCCTCCTGCCTGTCCTCAAGGACGTCCGTGCCAAGAGCACACTCACCCTCGACGGACGGAGGACAGTCAGACTCAGACTCAGCAACAAGACTAGCGGCGTAGTCGAGACGACATGCGGCAGCATATTCAACAAGCTCAACAACTAGGGCACACGCACCAGTGGACTCAAACGAAGGGTCAATGAAAACAGTGGCTAGAAGACGTGGGACAATAGGACTGGCAGCATGAGCGTCAGGGTCCGGACCATCAGCAAGAGAGGACGCATGAGGAGACGGCAGGGGAACTCGTAGTGGAACAGATGAAGGACGAAGTGCCATAATGTGTGTGCTGGGGACAGGAGGAGGACGCGGACGAGGAACATGACGACCAGTGTGAACAGCGCGAGCACGCGAGGCAGGACGAGACCCAGGCTCACGTCGCTCTATAAAAGAGTCTGTTTGCCCAGCGCAAGGAGAAGGAGCAGGGAGTGGGGAGTCTGGCTGTAACTGTGGCTGCGACTGGTGAGGCGGTGGACACAGTAATCTAGGAGTAAGGCCAGTAGAAGATGAGAGACTAAGAACCTGGCGAAGGACCGAGTCAGGTGGCGGCAGAGACGACGATGGCGGCGGAATAAAAAAGGGCGCCGCTGCATAGTGCCTCCAGCACCAGGACCGCTAGCTCCAGCACCCCTTGTGCCAACACCTCCAGCTCCAGGGTCTCTAGCTCCAGTGCCTCCATCTCCAGCGCCTCCAGCGCTAGTGCTTCCAGCGCTAGTGCCTCTAGCTCCAAAGTCTCAAGCTCCAGCTCCTCCAGCTCCAGCGCCTCCAGCGCTAGTGCCTCCAACTCTAGAGTCTCCAGCTCCAGTGCCTCTAGCTCCAGCGCCTCCAGCGCCAGTGCCTCTAGCTCTAGCGCCTCCAGCGCCAGGGTCTCCAGCTCCAGGGTCTCCAGCTTCAGCGCCTCCAACACCACCAGCTCCGGCAGCTCCAGTACCTCTACTACGAGACCCTCCAGGATCAGCAGCACCAGCACCTCCAGCTCTAGCAGTAACTCCAGCATCTCCAAGACTAGTAGCTCCAGCAGTAACTCCAGCACCTCCAGCTCCAGTGCCTCCAGCGGCAGAGCCTCCAGCTCCTGCAACGCCACTCCTAAGGCGTGTGCGCTGAGCAACCCACTCGCGCAGCTGCTGCGGTGCGAGAGGCTCCCGCGGAGGAGACAGTCATGGCGAGGCACCCGCAAGACCTCCGGCAGACACAGCACCCCTTGGCTCAACACCCTTAGACTCCGCACCCTCATACTCAGTACCCCTAGGCTCCGCACCCTCAGGCTCAGTACCCCCAGGCTCCGCACCCCCAGGCTTAGCACCCCCAGACTCCGCACCCTCAGACTCGGCACCCCCAGGCTCCGCACCCTTAGGCTCAGCACCCCCAAGCTCCGCAGTCGCAGGCATAGCACCCCCAGAGGCAGCACCCCCAGACGCAGTACCTCTAGCAGCACCCCAACTTCTGCTCAATGCATTGGGTAAAAGTACTAACCCTAATTGGGTTGTACCCCTTATGGGCTACCCCACTATAGCCTACACAAAGCAAGCAATATAACATTTTGACACCGCCTCCTTGTCTCTGGTCTTCCCTGTCAGAATGTTATGTTTGTCTAGCCTGCAATGGGGTACTCAATAGTGAGTACAGCCCAATCTAGGGTTTGCTATATGTACTCAACTGCTTGCTAGTGCAACCTCTTTCCTCGTTTCTAACTTTCAACTGCTATTCCAACATGGAATCAGAGCAGGTCGACCCTTCTGGGTCGATCCTGTGCATGGGCCCACCATTGTCTTCCGCTGCTATACTGCCTATCGCGCGCCTCGGGCGCGCACTGTGGGCGCGCGGCCTTTTTTCTTCCCGCCGCGCGCTCGAGGCACGCGGCGGTTTTCTGACCGTCGCGCCGCTCTGGGGGCCGCGCGACGCCCTACTCTGCCCGTCGTGCGCCCCGTGGCGCGCGGCGGTGCCCTGCCCGTCGCGCGCCCCGGGGCGCACGGCGGTTTCGTCGCCCGGGGGGCTCGTGCGCGCCCCCCCCCCCCCCCCCTCGTCGCCCGTCGCGGCGCCAACGGGGGCCCGCGCGGCCCCAATTCCCGTCGCCCGTCGCGGCGCCCAGGGGGGGGCCGCGGGGCCGCGCGTCGCGGCCCTGCCCTGCACCTGTCCTGCCCCGGCCCTGTCGCGGCCCTGCCCCCCCCCCCCCCCCTTACCTCCCTACCCGCCATCTATGGCCCTGCCCTGTGTTAGGGTTTGGGGGTGGCGAGTAGGGGGTGGCGGGTGTGTGGCATCCCCTGCTCCTCCTCCTACTCCGTCTCCCACTGCTGTAGCTGCCG